GCTGGGCCCTCAGCCCCGTGGCGCAGACTGCTTGAGGGGCCGCCCGGGGCTGGCTGGCACTGTCCTACAGCCCCGCTTCTCCTGGCAAGGGCAACGCAGGGCCCAGGCGCTACCCCCAGCCAGCCAAGGGGCCGGGGTCAGGGCGCGTACCAGGAAGGCGCAGAGCATGTAGAAGCTGATGAAGTAGAAGTAGGCGAAGCCGGTGCCGCAGGTGTACTCCTCCCCGGGGGCGAAGTCGGACTTGGCGTCACACTGCTTCCCATAGCTGCAGGCCAGCAGGATCTCCTGCCAGGCCTCGCCCGTCGCACACCTAGGGAGGAAGGGAAGATGCCAGCTGGGCTCCGCGGGGCACCACTGCCCTGCCCAGGCCGTGTGGGATGAGATTGGCAGGAAGGGAGCAGCAGCTAGTGGTTACAGCAGGGCTGAGAATATTGCATTCCAGGCCTGACTGGGTAGGCAGGTGCCTAAGAGCCAGGACTGCTGGGTGCTAGCCCCACCTCTGCTGGGGGGCGGGGGTACAAGGCAGCAGTTAAATCAGGGTGCTGAGTCAGGATTCCCGGTTTGGGGTTGGGAGGGGAGAGAAGTCTAGTTCCAGCCCCACCACTGGCTCACCACGCAACAGTACAAGTCACTTCCCCAGCTGTAAAATGGGGATAAGAATAGCTCGGGGGAGGGGGGTTAACGAGTGGATGGTTATAAAACATTTTTGAGCCTGTTTGACCGAGAAACTCCAGAGCCCATGTCCTCTCCCTTCCGTGCGCGGGGAAGAAACCGGCGCGTCCGTCCCCGGGAGAAGTCTGACATCTCCCGTGACACCAATTCCAGATGAAAAATCCACCTTTTGAAATGCAGCGTGGAGTGGAAACTGCGGAGTGTTTTGGTTCTGAAGCAGCCATTGCTAATTTCCACACTGCAGGAACATGAACTGTGGAAACCCAACCCGGGCTGGCGGGGGCTGAAATGGTTTTAAAGTTTGGGTTTGAATCGCTGGGACACGTTGCCACGGGAAATGCTGTTGGAATCAACACGGCCCCGCAAAATGTTTCTGTTTCAGCCCGGCAGCAGCTGATGGGAAACTCGGTTTTTCCAGCCCACTCTGCCCAGGGTGGCCTTGCAAGTGGCACCATGGGCTGCCCTGTGGCCCATGATTCAGGGGGGCGGGGGCTCTTGGGCATGATCCACGGGGCTCGTGTGTCTTCTTGGACAGGTTTGGAGGAGCCAGGGTGGGATTCATGCCGGCCACAAGCTGACTCCACAGCGTTTCCCCGCAATCCGCTGTCACCAGAACCTGCCGGTCAGTGCCTGTTTTGCGCCAGGCCCGCGGCGGCTAGGAAGAGCCTGGGAGCGCTGCCAGCTGAGGGACTGAGGCCCAGCTCCTCAAAGGCATTTCAGTGCCGAGATTTCAGAGGCAGCGTGAGATGCCCAGGGCTCTGGTCCTTAGCCCTGTAGGACAGGTCAGTGCTGCTCCATGATCCGCTCGGGGGTGCTGGTGATGCCAAGACGCCGGAGCCACGTTACCCTGGTGCTCCAGTGTATGGAGAATTGCCCCGCCCTGGACTGGTGCATTGTGACCCAGAGCAACCTCATGGCACATGAGGGACCCTTTAATGACCTGTGGGAGGTGGAGGGGAGCCTGGAGGTCTTCACCCCTCTGAGAAGTCAGGCAGCTGGCCCCAGCACCGGCTGTGCATTACAATGGCTCCAGGCCGGATGCACGAGGTGCCCCAGGGGGACCCAGTGCAAAGGGATACTGCACAGGCCCGGGGCGGGGTGAGGAAGGGCGGGGCTCACACTCACCTGAAGAGCAGCAGCACGGCTTGTGGGAAGGTCTGGAAGTTGTTGTTCCGGTTGATTTGGGTTCCATCCACCATGGCGATTTTCCCAAACATCTGTAAATAATATTGCCAGAGGCCACTGTTTGATCCTCTGTCTCTCCTCCCTGACTTGCCCACGTCCCGCCAGCTGGAGGCCCCAGCGCTGTCCCCCCCTCCTTACCTGCATCCCGATCACAGCGTAGATGAAGAAGAGCATCACGATGAGCAACGCCACGTAGGGCAGGGCCTGTGAGACAAAAGGCCCCAGGCTCATCACGTGGCCTGACCTGTCTCCCACCACTGTTTGATCCTCTGTCTCTCCTCCCTGACTTGCCCACGTCCCGCCAGCTGGAGGCCCCAGCGCTGTCCCCCCCTCCTTACCTGCATCCCGATCACAGCGTAGATGAAGAAGAGCATCACGATGAGCAACGCCACGTAGGGCAGGGCCTGTGAGACAAAAGGCCCCAGGCTCATCACGTGGCCTGACCTGTCTCCCAGCTGCTGATCACGCCTGCTTTAGGCTGGACTTACCCCGCTGCTGCCAGCCCAGGGCCAGTGGGGAGCAGGCAGGAGAGGGAGCCTGCCACTAGCACTGCCTGTTCTCCAGCAATCCTGCGGCTGTCACTCTCCCCGCCCGTGCAGGGAGCTCGCTGCCTCTGCGGCTGGGACAACCGCCAGGTGGGCCAGGGAGAAGGGACATGTGGTCCCTGCACAGCCAGGTCCCTATGACCGGCACCCCGAGCACCCCGCCAGTCCTGAAGCTACTGCCCCAGGGAGCCGGTGATCTGAGGAGCCCTTCTTGCCACTCGAGTAACACACATGGAACGTGTGTGCCAGCGAGGGACTGCTCCATATCTAGGTTTAACCGCCTGCTGCTGCTCCTGGCTCCTGGGGTTCTGGAGCAGTGGAGGCCTGCGCTTTGGGGCTGAAGGTCCCATGTTCCAAGCCAGGTGCCGCACATTGGTCCATACACACCTGAAAGGACTTGATGAAGGTCCAGAGCAGGGTCCTGACTCCTTCCCCCCGGCTCAGCAGCTTCACCAACCTCATCACCCGGAAAAGTCGGAAGAAGGTGATGGAGACGCGGGAATTGTCCGCGGAATCCTGCAGGCAAAGCAGGCCCCTTAGCCGCTCTGTGGGAACAACGCCCCAGGCAGGGGAGGGCGGGAGCCGGCCCAGGGAACCTGCCAAGTGCGTGTGGCATGGAGGAGTGACCGCAGGGCAGAATGAGTGCTGGTCCCTCCCCTGTTCACCTCCACAGCCCAGGTGAGGTCGGATCGGCAGCCCCACAGGGCGATCCTAGCGCGTGGGTCTTACGTGTTACAACCAACCCGCTCGCTGAGTGCCTCGGGCCAGCCCAGGGGGGCTGCATGCTGGAGTGGGGGTGCAGTCAGTGCATGTCGGAAGAGAGGCTTCTCCCCAGCCTCAGCTGCACCAGCCAAGGTTACATGATGGATTGCAGGCTCTCCAGCCTCACCTTGCGCTCTGGGCTCCCAGCGCACTGGGCCACAGCAGGTGGATGTCAGGGGGCAAAAGGGTTTGAGCTGGCTGGGCACATTCAGTTTGGGGGGGGCGTTCTGCACGGGGGGCTTCCATGGCCATGGAGCAAGGGTGGTCATGTGGTGCGGAGGAGGGGAGGAAAAGCACAGGGTGGGTTAGGGTTGGGGAGACTTTGCTGCCCCAAGTCCCTCCATATCTGGAGGGGAAGCGGGGAGCAGAGCCCCCTCCAAGGGGGACATGCAGCACAGGGGAGACAAGCTCTTGGCCAGAGAGGTCCGGCAGGAGGGGGACGGGTGCTCTCTGCAGACACAGCAGGCCTGTCCGTTCTCTGGTATAGCCAGGGTAGGGCCCCGGCTGTGGGCTGAGCCAGAGTCAGTGAGCCAGGAAGCCGGCACGGCCATCTCCATTCCAGGCTGTCAGTGAAATCCCAGCCACCCTCCTGCTAGCCCAGGGCTGACTCACGAAGGGGGCGCGGCAGAGGAGAGAGTGGGTTTATCAGGGCAGCTTAGTGATGTGTCCCTAACTCTTCGCACCAAAGGTTCCTACTCAGCCCATCGCCATCCCGGCCCCAGCTCCACTTCGGCCCCAAATTGCTTTAAAACACCCCTTGTTCCAGCAGAACCGGTGGAGCCATTTTCTCCGTTTGTCCACTGCCGGCTTCCTCAGCATCCTTCGTGACTGCTGGCGCGAGAGCCTTCTCCTCTGCATCTCCTGCTGACTGAGACTTCCTTCCCGTACCATTCCACCTCACCAAGCCTCCACCCCTGCCAGCCTGTAGCAAAGGCTGCCGACACGTCTCTAACTCCCGCAGCTGAGACCTGACTTTTGTCCGTCACCAACTGCTAGGGAGACCAGCACAGGCTCTGGACCACACACAGGTACGGCCTCTTTCATGTCTGTACAACGGCTGGATGCAACCAGCTCTGTCTCGGGTTGGCCTGAGTTTGTCTGTATTTCACGGATGAAGGAAGGAAGGATGGATGGAAGAAATGGTTAAGGTGGGGGAGGCATGGATGGATAGATTGATGGATGGAGATCACACTTCAGTGTTAGGTAAGAGGATATCAAAGAGGTTGGGTGTCCTTCATCAGTGTCGTTAGCTCCCACCCTCTCTCCATCCTGGGAGAGTCACCTTGGGCATTTGCAGAGCAGCTCCCTGGCTTCCCAACATGCAATCCACGCAAACACAGCAGCGGAGGGCAGCAGAGAAATAACTAGGCAAGGACAATAAGGAGCCACTGCAAGCACATGCCACTGATATTTACAATGCCACTACAGCCTCCGCTCAGGCAGTACAGTCCGCCACTGGAAGCAAGAAACGTCTGTCAAGAGAACAAGAGAGTCAGCAAGAGAAAACTGTCACAGCCAGAGGGCCAAGAAACAAGAGAGACAGAGAACAGACAGACAGACAGGTGGCGGGCGTACAGAGAGAGCCAGACAGACACAGATACTTGGCAGGAAGAGGCAGATGGGAAACACAGAGAGAAAGACACACAGAAGGAAGACAGGGTAGGGTGGCCCAAAATCAAATGCTCTGAAAAAGGGGGTTCTGAATCCAGGCCCAAACCCAGGGCCATCTGGAGGAAAAGCCAACTACGCCTGGAAGAGAAATGGCACGAGCGAAAATATCTGCAAACGCGCCAGAGCGACTTGAAGGCCCACACCCCCCGTGACGTTCCATGAGACACAGGCGTCGTCTGCACTAGAAAGTTGTTCTGCTTGAACAATACCCGGGGAGCCAGACCAGTGTTATGGTGGGATAGAAAGGGCTTTATGCAGGATGTGTATGGGAGCTTCATCCTGGCCTTGGTATAGCTGGTATGAAATCTTCAGGTGCCTAAATCCCTTTGTAAATCTGACCCTTAGGAGCCTACGTCTCAGTCAATGTCTCTAGGATTTAGAGTCACTAAGTCGCTTTGGAAAATGGAGCTTGGGTTCCTGTGTAGCTGGCACCCCTGATCGATGCACAAATGGTTAACTACAGATCTGATTTGAAACCGATGTACAGGCCCACAATGGACTATGATGTGCCAGCCACGTGTCTGCCCACTGGTTTAATTTAAACCGATTTTTAAACCAACGTCAGTGAAACTGGAGCGACTTGCCTGGCGGTGAGAAATGTGAAGTGGGGAGATTTGCTTCGCTTCACTGCCCCCTTTCAGTACTGGCTGAGGGGGGTTCTAGCACAAAGGTCCAGTCTACACACAGACAGAGCTGCCTCAGTTTACCACAGGCGTGCTACTATCTTGCGCCTGGTGGCATCGGTTCATGAGCATTTTTCGAGTCACTTGCCAGGCTAAATGCAAAGAGCCAAATTTGTTCATTTCTTGACTGAAGCTGTTCCTGGATATAATATTTGTATCTGCATCTGATCCCTGATCTGCAAAGGGTCCATGGCTATAAAGCGGTTGTTGTAGATTTGCAGGGCTCTAGCTCCGTGGTGTCCAACCAGTTCTGCGGCTAGCGGCTTGCGTCTTGGACACCCCGGCCCTAGCTATTCCCCTTCCGCGGCTAGGGGCCTCCACATGGGGGCAATTCACCCCACCGCTAGGAGCACAGCTCCCGGGCACCATCACAGCACGCTGGCCTGTCACTCCTAAGGCCTTCCCCACAGGCAGTGATGTCAGTGGTTGGAATTCGATTGACTTAGTGGGCTTTGGATCAGAGCCCCTGGGCACGATCCAGCACCGGCGCGGAACGCCGAGTCCCAGAGAAGTCAAAGGGGCCGCTTGCTCGTGCTTTGGGGCTGGCTTGAGACCTGAACGACTCAGCAAAGGGCTTCAGATACAAACCCTCCTCCGCCCCGGCTGGCAGGAGCCCGCGAGCGGCAGGGCACAGACACACGGACGGAGAGAGAACGGAAGGAGAGGACAGACTTTGCAGACCAGCCGGGAGGAAACAACGGCCAGGAGGTGGTGACTCTCGCCTTGCCCCAGCCGCGAGGGGCTGGGACCCCGATGGCAGCGTTGCTGCGGATGCTGTCTCCCTACCCGTGGCGCATTGGCAGGAAGCAGCATTCCGGAGCCAGAGGCGGTGCCAGGCCCCGGGGGCCCTCTTAACACATCCTCAAACAGCCAGTAGGGGCCCCCGCAGCTGCTTGGGGCCCTAAGCCTTGCGCAATCTGTCTGCCTCGCGCCGCGCAGACCAGAGCAGACCAGGCCACAGACGCCAGGTGAGACGGGTGCAGATACCCGGATGGGCAATGGCCCCGACACCCCCGCAGCCACCAGGCAGAAAGCAGGGCTCACCGCGTGGGGCTGACGCTCTCCAGCTACAGACCCAGCTCCTCTCAGCCTGCTCCCTGCTCACCAGCCCGTCCCGTGGAGCCCAGGTCTCCCCGTGGTCCCTTAGCCCTAGAGGCTAGAGAGAGGCTCTCCTCTCCCCCCGGATCCTCCTCGGTGGCCATGGCGGGGGCATGGGAGCGATGTCCCAGTGGCCAAGTGAATCCCTGGAGAAGCCCCGATGTCCCTTGCAGGGGGAGGGGAGGTGGGGTGATCTGGGCTGTTCCTCCATGCCCAGGGGTGCAAAGCTCTTTCCAGCCGATCCCTCCCCAAGCAACAGTGGGAAGGAACCGGGTGCCCTCGAGGCTGAGAACAGCTGGGGAGGACCCAGCAGCCCAGGGAGTGTCTCAAGGCGGCCGGGCAGATGGAGAGCACTCGGCGGGCACAGAGCCTGTCGGAGGGTGGCTCGGGGTTTGGGGAAGGGGCAAGGGATGCCTGGCAGCAGCTGCAGGCAATTTGGGGCCCTCTGCAAGCTGCCCAAGGGGTTGGCTGGGAATGGGGAAGAAGCCCAGCAGCTGCCAGGGCTGCTCATTAGATCCACCTCTTTCTCGGATCCTGCGGGGCGGGGAGCTTTCGGGTGCTGTTAGCCGAGCCGGTGGGGCAGCTCCCGTTCTCTGGAGTGCGGCACATCGCTCAGCAAAGAGGCAGCAGTGCAGCCACCGCCCAGGACCACAGAGCCTGCCAGAGGGGGCTGGCCCGGCGATGGCAAGCTGCCCTGTGGGGCTGATGTGCCCCGGGCCTAGAAGGCTGGGCCCGAGAACAGGAGTGGGGTTAATTTAATCCCTGCCCATCCTGGCTAATAGCCATTGAGGACCTACCCTCCATGAATCTATCTAGCTCTTTTTTGAACCCTGTTAAAGGCCTGGTCCTTACAGCGTCCTCTGGCAAGGAGTTCCACAGGTTGACTGTGCGTTGTGTAAAGAAAGACGGGATGGGATTTATTAGCTGGGATGTACTAACCCCACTTCCCAAGCTACTTCTACAACTACGGCTGGGTCTCTGGTATGCAGCGCACACCCGGTGTGTGTGGAGCCAGTTTATGTGCCCCATGCTGGCAATCGGGTATACAGCTCCCAGCAGTGCTCATGGCAGTTCCAACATGCCCCTGACCCGGCTCCTGTATGCAGGCTGCTCTATGCATCACAGTGCAGAGTACACATGGACATGGTCTATACACTGAACATACTCCAGTCTCAGATACGCAGGCCCACACACCCGGAGGAGGCACGGTGTATATACGGCAATCCTCACACGCAGCTCGAAGCACACGCAACAGGTCATCGAAACAGTGCCAGGACCTCACGGAGCGCAGGCCAGAAGCTTCCTGTAGGGACCATGGCTTTCACCCATCCCTGTGAGGATCTCAGGCCGAGTGAATTGATGGCTAGCCATCTGGGCATGTGTTTGAAGGGTACCACGTGGGCGCAACCTCCGGAGAGTCTTGGCATGTCGCCGCTGAGCCTGCGTGAGGTTCTGGATCTGTCCCAGGACTAGGCTGGTTTCCACAGGGCACCTCCCCAGGCAGGTTCAGGACAGGGGGGCGGGCTGAGAGCCGATGAGGCCAGGGGTCCCACCATGTCTGTGTAAGGGCTAAGAAGAGATCCTGCCAGCACCATCTCTTAAACAGGAAAAGGTTAACCCGCGGGCCCCGGCCCCGCCACACTCTCCTCCTGCCCAGCGTCACATGCAGTCCTGAAGGCCCCCAGGCCTCCCACGTGGTGGTGGGAGGGCCACGCTCTCGGACTCGTCCCCTCCCCCCAGGCCTGGGGATCGCTTACATCGATCTCGCTCAGGATGACGTCGATGATGCTGCCGATGACGATGAGGAAATCGAAGACGTTCCAGGGGTCGCCGAAATAGCCCTGAGATGGAAGGAACGGAGGGGAGGAGGCAGCCGAATGGAAGAAAGAAGCCGAGGGTCAGACGGGGGTTAGAACTCCCCACGGAGGACCCGGCCGTTCCTGAGCGCGGGGCGCTGACTCCCCAGCCAACAGCCGCCCACCCGCTGCGCCAGAGGGAGCTCGGGCCGGGGAGACGCGGGTTGGCAGTACAGGGGGCACGTGGCCACGCGCTGCAGCGGGAAACCCCGCCTGCAAGTGCAGCTGCCGTGGCCACATCTCCGCGTGTGGGCTGCCGGGGGCCAGGCTCTCTAGGGAGGGCAGTGGCGGGCTGGGGAGGGCCTGGATCAGGTTGACCCATGACCATGTGACTCCCTTACACGCAGGGGACGGGGAAGGGCCTGGTCCCCGGAGGATCAGCCACAGGCAGGGCTTTCCAAGGGGCTGGCAGAGCCCACATTGGTGAGGCCGAGGGAACAAGCCATGCGAGGTCGGGCAGGAGAGGGATCCCCGGCCGGGCAGGCCGCAGGGAGCAGAGGGTGACTGGCCGTCTCCGTGGGCCTGAGGGACGTGCCTGCAGGGCGGGCGGAGAGGGAGACGGGGGCTCTGCCTCGCCTCTCACATGCGTCCCAAGGGGGCAGGAAGCTCAGCTCAGGGACTCTTGCAGGGCTGCTCACACACAGGCTGCTGGCCCTGTCAGGGAGCTCCAGGGAGGGCCACGAGCCTCCCACCTCCTGGGCAGAGATACCCAGGGCAGTGAGCAGAGCTGGGGTGGGGGCAAATAGCTGGACGAAGGGCTCCCCCATGTGCACTGGATTGGCCCTGCTCCTTCCCTCGGGCACAGCCAGGTCCTGGGCGGGTCTCCCCGGCGCCCCCAGCCATCAGGGGAGTGTGTCCCAGGGACGTGGCATGGGGAGGACATGCCATGCTCACCGCTTGGGGCGAGTTCCTGCACATAGCCCCCCTCCCCCCCGATTTTTTTTTTCCTCTCTCTCTCCTCCTCCTCCTCCTCCTCCGCCCCTCCCAGACGTGGGCCCCGCTCCGGACTTGCACCCCCTGTCGGGAATCAGGGCCTGCTGCTGCCTGCCTATGGACGTGGTACCCGAGTGGGGGGAGGAGTCGGCAGACAGGCAGGCCAGGGGTTACTCAACACATTTGACTCAGCAGCGACAGCTCCTGCCTTGGCTCCCGCCAACTTGGTTCTGACTCCTGGCTGCAGACTCGTGCTCCAGCCACTAGGTACAGCTGCCCATATGCTGGTTGAGTTATGCCCCCCCCCAGCACCCCTCTCCAGATTCCTGCCCCAAGACTGTCACCCCACACGCACCTTGGCTTTAAAGGCCATGAGCTTGAGGAACATCTCCACGGTGAAGAGGATGGTGAAGGCCACATTCAGGTTGTCCGAGAGATAGTTCATCTCGGTTGACTGGTTGTAGTGCTGGGGAGACAGGAAGAGGCACAGGTTGGCCCCGGGCTACGGGGAGCAGGAAGGGGCCGGGTCTCGAGGCTGGACAGGACGTGGGCGCCTGAGACCAGCATACAAAGCTAGAGCTCTGGCAAGGTGAGAAGATGGACTGACGTTGTGATGCTGGGCCCCCTTCACACACAGCTCAGCCAAGGTCTCTCAGCCGCACCCATCGCCTGTTCCAGCCCTGGACCCTGCCCACTGCTCTGTCCACACACACACACACACACACTGTCTCTCTCCCCCCCGCCCTGCGTTTTTACACACACACACACACACACTGTCTCTCTCCCCCCCGCCCTGCGTTTTTACACACACACACACACACACTGTCTCTCTCCCCCCCGCCCTGCGTTTTTACACACACACACACACACACTGTCTCTCTCCCCCCCGCCCTGACACACACAGGAAGGGGGCCGGACTCCACACCCATAGCCCCCGATGCACCAGGCCCGGGGCCCAGCCTGACTCTCATTCTGAGGGCATGCCAGCCAGAGACCCACCCACCCCCATGCCCTGCCGACAGCAGATCAAAGGTTGCCACCCTTAGGTGTGGCCCGTGCTCACCTGCATGCCCAGGCAGACGGTGTTCAGCATGATCAGGAAGAACATGAGGTACTACTCCACACCCATAGCCCCCGATGCACCAGGCCCGGGGCCCAGCCTGACTCTCATTCTGAGGGCATGCCAGCCAGAGACCCACCCACCCCCATGCCCTGCCGACAGCAGATCAAAGGTTGCCACCCTTAGGTGTGGCCCGTGCTCACCTGCATGCCCAGGCAGACGGTGTTCAGCATGATCAGGAAGAACATGAGGTACTCGAAGTAGGAGGAGGTCACCACGTACCAGATCTTGTACTGGTAGGGGTTCTTGGGGATGTAGCGTCTCAGCGGGCGGGCTTTCAGCGCGTACTGGACACACTGGCGCTGGGGCGAGAGGAGGAAGGCAGGCGGGCGGTGAAGGCCATGGAACGGAGGTGGCGTTTCCCAGCCGTAAATCCTCTAGCTCCCCACTCTGTCCCTTCCCCCTGCAGAGCCGGCCCAGACCTGGATTTTCCATTGTGTGGCAAATCCTGGGATTTTGAACATTCCCCCCACCACTCTGAAAACAACAACAAACTGGAAATTTCCCATGAATCAAAATTCCCAGGAAAGTTTTGCTCGGAGCCGATTGAAATGTTTTGTCCTGAGAAAGCAGGA